TAATTAAATATTCCGGCATAATTAACGTGAGAAGTAATTTTTTTTTAGAAATATGTACATAAGAATAATTTTAAAAAAATACATTAAATTTTTTCTTAATTATATAAATTGATATTTATTTTAAATTAAAATAAAAAAACAAATGGATCGATGGAAAGGGGAGTATAGTTGATTCATAGGGACACGATGGCTAATTAATTCGCAAGCATTATGATAAACGGGGACCACACAACGTTCATAAAAGCGACTTGATACATAAATTTTGACGTGCTCTGTAAAGTGATTGCTAAACAAAGCCTTTTCAATGAATGATTTGAATATTAAATTTGATTCCAATACATAAGTAGACCGTCGTTTTAGCAACTTACCTTACTTAACATTCACTCGGCACCGCCCATAATTTGCCATATGGTACATGTGGATATTAGAGTTTCGGCCAAAATTATTCCTTATATTTGAGGATAGCCATATTATTATTATTTAAATGTGACATTGAACACTATTTATCTTCAAAATTTGCAAAACTTGAACGCAAATAGCTCCAACTAGCATAATACATCAAACACAGACTGAAATAAACGGACCAAATGTTAAGTAAGGAGAGTTTTTGATAATTGGTTGTATAGTAATTTTAGTATATTGCAGCATACGTGCACTTTTCGGGGACCAAATATTGAATAGTTATTCGTAAAATTGGTCTACTAATTGGGACCCTATTCTTATTTGTTCGTTTTCTTGGAAGGCTCATACTTGTACATGCGGCAGTGTGGCAAAGATGTCAGGATAGGGACATACACTTATGAAGAGAGAGTAAAATAGTTGATCAATTAGGGTAGCTAGGAGGATAGTTATCCATCACAATTTCCTTTGTTGCATGGGAAAGTGTGGCAAGCTTTGATGATCGCATTTAATTCCCAACTACTCAACTCCTTTAGCTATGTCCGTTATTAATAAGTAGATGCTACCTATCACTCATCATATCTCCCCTTACTTTCTCCTTTACTTATAATCTCTTTTGTACTGTAAAGAAAAAACAAAAGGAGGAGAATAGAATATTCATTCCAAAGATGGAGGATTCAAGACAGAAAATGGCCGGAAGTACTCCTCTACAGAAAGGGTCAGGAGAATTTGAAGATGAGAATGGAAGCAGCAGTATGCGAACGGCTGAGACTGTGCTGCGTTTGTTACCCATGGGGCTGTGTGTTGTGGCTCTTGTTATTATGCTCAAGAATTCCCAAACCAATGACTTTGGTTCCCTTTCCTACTCTGACCTTGGAACCTTCAGGTAACTATTTAACTCCTCTTCATTTATCTATTTCTTAGTTAGTTACTAATTTTTATTGAGTTACCAACTAATGTTAGTCATAGAATAAGCTGTAATTACTTTATAATTGACCTGAGTGGGTAAATTAGTGAATAGATTAAATTCTTTACACGCACCTTGAAAATTTGTGGAAAGTTTTAGTTATCAAAAGAAAGGTGTGTATTTTGGTGGAAAATGAAGCCGATGGTTAGTGCATTTTGTAAGGAATTTGTAGTCATGGCTGATGAGGTTCAAATCTTGAATCTGCTGCAGGTACTTGGTCCATGCAAATGGCATTTGTGCAGGTTATTCTCTTCTATCAGCAATAGTAGCAGCAGTTCCTCGTCCCATAACCATGTCTAGAGCCTGGACTTTCTTCCTCCTTGATCAGGTTCTTTTCCACACTATTGATCTTGATAAAGCTGTATTTCTAAGGCATCCTGCATCAGAATTTACATTTTACCATCACCCTAAACTAGGAGTGGCAAATGGGCAGGACGAGTCGGGTTGGATGTAAGTGGGTCGAAAACAGGTAATGTAAAAACGGATAAATTATCCGATCCAAATTCATATTTGATACGGATAGAAAATGGGTTAACCGGCGGGGCTTCTTGAATATGATCACATTTTGAGAGAATTTCTAGTCTATCAAACTTGAAGAACCCCTATTTGAGTCTTTGAAAATATATAAGTTAAATCCATTGGTTATCCATTTTTTAAGTGGATAATATAGATCTTATCTATATTTGACCCATTTTTAAAAAGATCATTATTCAATCTTTTTTTTAGTGGATAATATGGATGGATAACTGATTTTGTTTTACCTATTTTGACACCACTACACTAAACTGAAAGGCTAGCTAACACTTGCAGAAGTGAATTCAGGATTTAGAATTAGTGAGTTCAAAATGAATTGATCTTATTATGTAAACACTATTTTTTTTCCGTATATGTATCTATAGTTCCGATCGAAAGCAATGAGTTCAATTGAACCTATCCACCGACCCTGATTCTGCCTCTGCTTGCAGATACTGACATACATAATACTGGCCGCCGGAGCTGCGTCAACCGAGGTGGTGTATCTGGCATATAAAGGGGACACAGCAGTTACTTGGAGTGAATCGTGCGGCTCTTTTGGAGGTTTTTGCCATAAAGCCACAGCATCTGTATCTGTTACTTTCATAGTAAGCCTTTGCTATGCAGGGCTTTCGCTGCTTTCATCTTACCGGCTTTTCAGCAAATATGATGCACCAGTTGAGTTGTATAATAACAAGGGGAGTATTGAGATTGCTACATATTGAGAGTTCCATACCGATCCATGATCAAAGACATCTGCATTTCCCTCTTTGTTTAGGCTAAGTGGTGCACTAGTTTTTGCTTCCACTATCTCATGTACACAGCAGATGTCAATAAAAGATGGCATTTAGGTGCAATAGAGGGTGTTGCTTCACTTCAATATCATATCTGGTAAAATTGTGGTCTTCAAATCATTCTCTCGCCCCATGTGTTTTGCTTTTTTAACTAATTAATACCCTCATGTTCTTGTGATTGTAGCTGCTCTTAGGTGTTCTCTTAATGAAGGATAAAGAAAGGCAAACTAATCTCACAAAAGGTTTCTATTAAGTTGTAATGAAGCATAGCTCAATAGATGCCAAGTGCGAGGTGCATAATAAAAAATATACTCAATACACGCTAAATGCAAGGTGCATACTAAAAAATATACTCAATATATGCCAAAGGCAAGGTGCTTACTAAAACATATACTCCCTCCAGGTGCTTACTAAAACATATACTCCCTCCGTTTCAATTTATGTGAACATGTTTGACTGGGCACGGGGATTAAGAAAAAATAAAAATTGTTCCAATTTATGTGAACATGTTTGACTGGGCACGGGGATTAAGAAAAAATAAAAATTGTTCCAATTTATGTGAACATGTTTGACTGGGCACGGGGATTAAGAAAAAATAAAAATTGTTCCAATTTATGTGAACATGTTTGACTGGGCACGGGGATTAAGAAAAAATAAAAACTTTTTGAATTTGTGGTTCTAAACAAAAGGGATCCAGAGTATTTATGTGGTTATAAAAGCTTCTCATTAAGGATAGATTGGAAGTATAAGCTAAATTGTTTTCAAATTTAGAAATGGATCATTTTTTTTGGAACGGACCAAAAAAAAAATAGGTTCACATAAACTGGAACGAAGGGAGTACTGTCAAGATGTAATCTATATGCTTAGAAAATTGCACATATGATTGGTTCATATCTCTACTTCGGGAGCGTAAGAATTTCAAGAATACCTCAAACATCAAACGGGTATTAAAAGCTTTACTATAAATGGTTAGTTGGTTACCAGTTTGCTTAGACACTATTGAGATTAGACTATTTGCTAATTGCATCCAAGACCTAATGCTAAGTTTGAACAAAGAAACCACTTATGTGAGTAACCTACACTTGTGTCCATTCCTGGACAATTCACAATATAGTTGACAATAAAATCCACATCCCAAAGCACTTCAAAAGCAACTCCATTTACATGCATCCTACTTAATTTGTGCGTCCAAACACTACAAGTACAACCATGCAAAATTGCCGCAAAAAAGATGCAAAATAAAAAATTTACAGCAGAAGAATCAGGATTGAGAAACGATAAACAGCATAAAATACTGAGGGGCTATGACCAACTGTCAAGAAAGAGAAATATAATGATAATGATATGCTTTATATCCTGATAGTTTGTAAATCTGTCAAGGGTAATCTTATCTTCAAAACCTTGTAGGAAGAAATGTTTTACTTGACTACTAGCATCGGTTCTTTTCAACCAGATAATGAATTCACTTCAGAATGTGCAACTCATCAATTCTCTGTCTTTGAAAGGACAAGCCAATAAGAGAATCACAACGATATAAGTCACAATTATTTTTTTGTCATAACAATGGTGCCTACTATCTCTCGCGCACAGGTATCGAATAACTATATCCATCAAGGATTAGACAGATGAGAAGAGATCACTCAACTGATAATTTTCACATTGATCTCGCATGGTATTTACTCACTTTTAATATTGATCACGCATGGTATTTATTCACTTCATTGAGTGCTAGACCATACTCTTGGGTGCTATAGGTTATTATTTTTTTGATAAAGATATAAATAAGATAAGAAAATATTTAGCTACCCCTTTGTTCTCCAAACACAATGAGAAAAAGGGTTATGAAGTGCAAATATAAAAGGAGTAACACACACACTATTGCTTCAAGGGAACGAGTTGGTCAAAAATGAATTGTTGCTTGCCTACCAGATTGAGAAGCTTTCAGAATCATAACTAAAACATGTATATGCAAACAGATAAGGATATGACCATTCTTGAAGATCGGGCCATTGAAATTCATCTGCAGAAGAACCCTAGGCTAAGGCAGAGGAGAATTCATATTGAACTTTCATTATTAGAACATCAACGCAAAGAAATTGTGATACCCTCCATAATTTTTAAGAAATTCCATTGTTCTCTTCCACACTAAGTAATATTTCTACCTCAAGCATCTCACTTACAAAAACTTACTAATCAAACGATACCCAATAAATTTTTCTTCCCTCCCCCTGATTTAAACTTGTGACATTGAGATTAGAAACTACATAGAAACACAATAATCCCATTGCTTATTATCCTAGTTAGGGCCAATATGGAGTAAAAGAGAATAACCCTTGAAATTTACTACTATATTGCTTCAAGCCTGAGGCAGAGTGAGAGTATCTTCCTTGCTAGAAATAAAAATGTCTATCACATCCGTAAGTCTACTTACATGACATATCTGAGATAGTTCATAAACTAGTAACTTATAGTAATAGAGTAAGCCCTTTCTCGCCTTTAAAGAAAGTAAAGTATGTTATAAAAGAACATGTTGAATTTCTCCACAAGACATATTGTGATTGCAAAGAATCAAGTCGAACCGATATATTATTAACAACGGAAAGTAAAACCAGAAATAAAAAATTACTTCTGCGGGTTCGCTTCTTATAGAGAATAAGATAGCCACATTCACGGCAGTGAAGCACATCGCCAGGTTTTAGGGTATTCTCCTGCCCACAATCTGCACGAAAACCAATCACTTTTCCCATCAATTCTCCAAAAACCCAAACACACACACTCACAACTATCCATATAAAACATATGATATGAAGAGAATTATGAGTACCTCCACAGATGTAACTCACAGGCCCGACTCCATCGTATACCGAGAGAACAAGAACTTGCGCTGACTCTAAATGCCCAAATTGAAAGGGTTTAAAGGGGGGTTTGGGGGTACTTATAACCTACCCGGTAAAATTTCAAGGCCAATCCCTGTTTTGCTTCACTGGACTCAAGCTCATTATGTTCTTTACATATCTTTGGGCAATGAGAGTTGCAAATTGTTTTTGTATTATGAATGTCGACGCTCTGCTTTCAACTAAGAGCTCGTGAGTAGTCAGCCAAGAGCAAGGTGAGTAGTTTTTGGAGGGAGGTAGCCGAACAGCCTCTCTAACTCAGGGTAGGGGTAAGGTCTGGATGCACACTAACCTCCCCAGACTCCACTAGGGTAATGCTAAGGTCTGCGTACACACTACATTCCCCAGACCCCACTAATGAAATTATACTGGATTGTTGTTATTGTTGTTATTGAATATCCATAAGGTAACTCCCAATTCCTCACATGCACATGTAATACAAAGGTGGATTTAGAATTTTAACTTTAATAATACGGATAAGAGTCTCATTTGCCACTCTACTATTATAAATAGGCCTTATTTACCCGCCGTTTACGTTTTCTATCAAAAATATCCATACAATTATACATTAGGTTCATATTTACCCCTTACACGTTAAAACAGGTTATATTTGCCCTTCGTTATACTTTAGGATCATATTTACCCATCTACTCTTCAAAAGGGTTATATTTTCCCTTCGTTATACTTTATTGATATATTTATCCTTACAATTATACTTTAGTATCATATTTGCCCCTCATCCGTTAGATCGTCATGTCCCACTTTTGTTTTCCTGCATGGCGCCTATGTGAATTTCTTTTTCTTCCAATTTAAATATGGTCACCTATTTAAGATAATTTAACCCGCCCACCCAATTTAAATAAGACTTCATTAACTCCATTATTGTGCAACTTCTCGTAATTTACTTTGGTTACTGCAATAATTGTGAGTTGTATTAGATTAGTGGTTTTGAGTTCAAAATTATTGTTTGCCATTATGTTGTCGCTTCTATAACTATAGTATTTCGCACAATCTTCACAAATCTCGTATCGGAAAATTGCTTTTCGTGGATCAATCATGGTCAATTGACCCAGTTTAGATTTTACAGAATTGTATCTCTACAAACACTTAAAAACATCATTGAGTGATTCATGTCTCCTAACTCCTAAGTATTAAAGGGAAACAAATTAACATAAACAAAGGTAAAATAATTAAATAAATCAATTAGAGATAACACTATAGTTTCGTTCACTCACAGTCCAAAATTTTTTCGCTCTCCAAAAAATATGGAGCTGACCCGGAGAAGAGAGATGGACGAGTGGGGNAATTATCTTAAATAAGTGACCATATTTAAATTGGAAGAAAAAAAAATTCACATAGGCGCCATGTAGGAAAACAAAGGTGGGACATGGCGATCTAACGGGTGAGGGGCAAATATGATCCTAAAATATAATTGTAAGGATAAATATGTCAAGAAAGTACAACGAAGGGCAAATGTAACCCTTTTTGAAGAGTAGAGGGGTAAATATGATCCTAAAGTATAACGAATGGCAAATGTAACCCTTTTTAACGTGTAAGGGTTAAATATGAACCTAATGTATAATAGTAAGGATATTTTTGATTAAAAACTTAAGCGCAGGGTAAATAAGGCCTATTTATGATAGTAGAGGGGCAAATCAGACCCTTATCCGTTAATAATATTAGCACTACATCCGCGCCTAACTCCTATAACTCCCAAATGATTAATCTTGTAACGGTCGGGTTAAATCTCACTCTCTATATTATTGCTTGCGGTGATTGAAGGCCTATAAGTTTATGAAGTTTCAAGTACATACAAGTTTGAATGAAAAAGCCCAAATTAAAAGGTTAAATTACCATTATACCCCTATTAATAAGTATATATTTGTATTTTATATTCTATAATAATAATTTAATACAAAATTGAAAAATATTATATATTTGTTATGAAATAAAAACTATAAAGTAAAGACAAGTGTAGAGAGAAACTAATATATTATTCAAACTTCAAACTTGTGTTCATAATGAACTGAAATCTCCTCTATTTATAGGAGAAAGGAAACTGTTATGTAAGCTACTTGTAAGCTGCTACTGCACCAGATATAGATAATCTTCTACCGGGGTGATGTTTATCCATAACGGAGTACCGAAAGGATAAGCTTCTTGAGGAAGCTTATTTCTAATAGAGTACTAAATAGATAAACATATTTACGGCGGAGTCTCATATAGATAAGCTTTTTCAGGAAGCTTATTTACAACGGAGTACTAAATGATCATCCATAATATAATATATTTATAACACTCCCCCTTGGATGTTCATTTAAAAGATAATGTACCTCATTAAAACCTTACTAGGAAAAATCCCGTGGGAAAAAAATTCTAGTGAAGGAAAAAGAGTACACATATTTAGTAATACGCATAATTAGTTGTCTCATTAAAAACCTTATAAGGAAAACTCTGTGGGAAAAATCTTAGTAAGGAAAAAAGAGTATAGCGCGTATTTTACTCTTCCTGATAAAAACCTTGTTTCACATATTTGAGTCTCTGCATTCCAACCTTGTATACCATCTTCCCAAAAGTTGAAGTTGGCAAAGATTTAGTGAATAAATCTGCTGGATTGTTACTTGAACGGATATGTTGCACATCAATGTCACCATTTTTTTAAAGATCATGTGTGTATAATAATTTTGGTGAAATGTGCTTCGTTCTATCTCATTTTATAAATCCTCCCTTTAATTGGGCGATGCATGTATCATTGTTTTCGTATAAAATTGTGAATCTTTTATCACATTCCAAACCACATTTTTCTTGAATAAAATGAATCATTGATCTCAACCATACTCATTCCCTACTTGCTTTATGAATAGTTATTTTCTCAGCATGATTTGAAGAAGTAGCAACAATAGATTGCTTTGTGGAGCGCCATGATATGACAGTACCTCCACATGTAAACACGTATCCCGTTTGAGATCGAGCTTTATGTGAATAAAATAAATAACCTGCATCTGCATAACCAACAAGATCTGCACTACCTTTGTTAGAATAAAATAAACCTATATTAAGTGTTCCCTTTAAATATCGCAACATATGCTTAATCCCGTTCCAATATCTCAGTGTAGGAGAAGAGCTATATCTTGCTAGTAAATTAACAGAAAATGCTATGTGAGGCCTAAGATAAGTATTTCGGGACCAAGGAGTTCCTCATCCTCTTCTAGAGGTCGGAATTAATCCTTATTCACTTCAAGTGATCGAACAACCATTGGTGTACTCAATGGGTGCGCTTGTCCATGTAAAATCGTTTTAAGACCATTTCTATATAGGCAGATTGATGGATAAAGATCTCGTCTGCTAAATGTTTAATTTGCAGACCAAGACAAAGTTTTGTCTTTCTAAGATCTTTTATCTCAAATTCTTTCTTAAGATATTCAATTGCCTTTGGAGCTTTTCTGGAGTTCCAACAAGATTTATGTCATCAACATAAACAACAAGTATAACAAATTCCGATGCCATATTCTTTATAAAAATACATGGACAAATAACATCATTTATGTAACCCTTTTTCAACAAATATTCACTAAGGCGATTATACCACATACGCCCAGATTGCTTTAAACTGTACAAAGATCTTTGTAATCAGATTGAATACATTTTCTGAGATTTTGAATTTGCTTTAGGCATTTTAAATCCTTCGGGGATTTTCATATAAATTTCATTATCAAGTGAACCATACAGATAAGCTGTAACTACATCCATTGTATTTCAAGATTTTCATGTAGTGCTAAATTGATGAGATATCGAAATGTTATGACATCCATAACAGGTGAATATGGTTCATCAAAATCGACTCCAGGTCGTTGTGAGAATCCTTGTGCGACAAGGAGAGCTTTGAATCTTTCAATTGCATTTTTATCATTCCTTTTTCGCACAAAAACCCATTTATGACCAACTGGTTTTATACCAGCAGGTGTTTGGACTACTGGTCCAAAGACCTCTCTTTTAGCAAGTGCGTTTAATTCTGATTGAATTGTCTCTTGCCATTTTGGCCAACCAGATCTTTGTCTACATTCTTCGACAGATCGGGGTTCAAGATCCTCACTATCTTGCATAATGTTAAGTGCAACATTATATGCAAAAATATTATTCACCACTATTTCATATCGATTTAAATTAATCTCTTCACCAGCAGAACTTATTAAAAGCTTCTCACTCACTTGAGTCTCGGGTTCATTGATTTCTTTAGGAATCTCAGAACTAATAAGATCTTGGGTCTCTTTGTCGATTGTCGAATGTCAGAATTAATCTCAAAAGCTTCTCCTTCATAATATCGTTTTGATCATTTGTCGATTTTGTTTTTCGAGGATTTCGATCCGTAGAACCCAAAGTCCTACCACGCTTCAGGCGTGCTTTAGGTTTACTAGATCTCATGCTAGTAGATGGTCCTGCCGGGACATCAATTCGGATAGGCACATTTTCTGCAGGGATATGTGACTTAGTTATCCTTTTCAAATCAGTAAACGCGTCTGGCATTTGATTTGCTATATTTTGTAAATGGATGATCTTCTAGACCTCCCTTATTACATATAGGGCTATGTGGATCAAAATGGGATAATGATGAAACTTTTCACACAATTTCTCTTTTGATTTCCTTTTTCTCCCCCCCTAATTGTGGAAAATTTGCTTCATCAAACCGACAATCTACAAATCGAGCAGTAAATAAATCTCCCATCAATGGTTCAAGATAGCGAATAATAGAGAGTGATTCAAACCCAACATATATTCCTAACCTTCTCTACGGGCCCATCTTACTGTGTTGTGGTGGTGCTACTGGCACATATACAACACATCTAAAAATTCGTAGATGGGCAATATTTGGTTCATACCCAAAAACTATTTGTGACGAAGAATATTTATTATAATGTGTCGGTATGAGACGGATAAGTAATGTTTCATGCAAGATAGCATAGCCCCAAACAGTAATGGGCAATTTTGTTTTCATAAGTAGTGGTCAAGCTATCAATTGCAGGCGTTTAATAAATGACTCTGCAAGGCCATTTTGAGTATGAACATAAGCTACAGGATGTTCAACTTTTATCCCAACTGATAGACAATAATTATCAAGAGCTTGAGATGAGAATTCTCCAGCATTATCAAGACGAACAACCTTTATAGGATAATCTGGGAATTGTGCCCTTAATCGAATTATTTAGG